AAAAAAAAAAAAAAAAGAAAAGAATGCCTAGGTTCCTGATATATCTCAGGAAAATTTTAACATACGTATCCATAATACAGTTTTAGAGAAAATCACTATAATTTTATACCTTAACAATTTTTCTGGGGTGAAAAATTGTATTCACTGTTGTTTCAACTTGTGACACCAGTAATACATTTCTGACATCTCCATCCCCAGGTGTAGAATGAAGAGTCTCAAACTACTGCTTGGGCCATCAAACTCTAAACTCCCTGGGGAAGTACCCAGGAGTTCAATTAAAAATTTCTAAGCACCTCACAGGGCTGGGAGTTTATCAAGGCAGTGAATGGCCTCAAGTGACATAATGATGAAGTACTCAGTACATGGTAGAAAGTTGACGACACAGAGCTGAGTTGATATTGTGGGGGCTGGAGATATCACTTAAGAGTTGGGGGATGGGAAAGGGCAGCTCAGTCAAATGACAACAGGATTCTCCTTTCTAGATGCTGATACTGTGTAGGGTACATACTAAGAATAGAGGAAGAGGATTCCAGCACTCTGTTCAGTCTGTCTAGTAATCTTTCTTGTTTTGAGTCAAGGTCTTTATGTGTGGCCCCAGCTGACCTCAAACTTGCTACACTACCAGGTTTCTCTCTAAATTACAATCCTGCCTCAGTCTCCTGAGTGCTATGATTACAGGCATGTGACATCCATTTGTCCTACACTAGCAGACCAGCTCAAACAGAGGAACAAAGAGCTTAGAGTCACATGTCTAGAGTAGGGATGAAGAAGTATTCCCATGATAGTGGGGAGGGAAGAATTCTAGGAGCAGATCGTGTAACTTGTGTTACAATTCTGCACAAATGAAAGTGTTGGCTTTCCAAGTTACGAAGATTATGTGTGCCTTTCTGTGTGTACCTATTCAAAATACATACTTTCCAACTCTTCCAACAGTCACCAAAATTTTACGTATATAAAAAAAGCTTGAGATGTAAACCATGAAAGCAGTACATATTGCTTAGCTCCAAGTAAGCAACTTCTAAATCTGAAAATATGTTTCTCTCTACCAGTAAACAAGTTATTCAGCATAACTAGGACTCATGTGAGATAAGACGGGCCTGATAGCTTTTCTGGCTGCCTCTTCTTGATCTCTACTTCTACAGACAAGCATCAGGGAGAATGGGAACGGTTGCAGGACAGGCATAAGCCTAAAGCAAAGCCTAGGGAGCATGATAAGAATAGCAAGCCCAAGCAAGCTTAACCAAAGTCTTCCTACTGGTTGCTGGTCAACATCAGGATTTAAAGGCTCAAAGAAAAAAACACTCATCACAAACAAAAGAAATCCAAACAAAGAAGACACTATAATCCTAGGGGGTAAGATCATTTCTAGCTTTGATTTCTGATTAAAGAGTTCAGGCCTAGCAGAAGGTAGTTAAGCATCATTTGTTTTTGATACATACTCGTTTTGCATACTCGTTTACAATTCCAAAAGAGCCAAGGGAATATAAGCTAAACCATAAAGTTAGCGCAGGAGCTCCCTGAAGAAAAAAACCCACTTCTCAACTTACTAGAGAATCTCCACATGTGAACAATGGTAATAGGGAGTGAGTTTAAAGTACTATATTTCATAGGTGCCCAAGCAGGGAATGGGACATTATTTCCAAATTCAAAATACCTAAACATTACCTGCACAAGTATACTATTTACTGGGAATAAGTTTGTCTTAGCAAATTACTGGTTTTTAAAGTGTCAACTCTATTGAGACCTTGGAACCCAAATATTTTGTTCCCTAAAACAGACCTTTGGACAAAGTGGGAGAGAAATACCAATGTGAAGTTAGAATTTATATGTTCATAGAAAAAAACACTTAATTTCTTATTCTACCTATTTGAGAGAAGGTTATATTATATTCATGTTGAATTAAGTAGGCAGTCTATTAACCCATGTCCATGTTTTATAACTCTGCTTATATGAGATGTTCAAAGTGATTAAAGTCATACACGGTAATTGGCAAGAAGAGAGGACTAGAGAGTTATTGTTTGATATTACAGTTTTAGTTCGTGAAAATGCTCGAGAAATGGTTAGTGGTGATGGTTGTACAATAAGGTAAATGTATTTAATGACAAGAACTACACACTTAAGAATGGCTAAAATATTAAATTATGTTATATCTGTCCTATCACCACTGAAAGCATAGCACATAATACTTGTAGAACCTAGAAGGGTACCAGTTGCTCAAGCCTGTAATTCTAGCTACTCAGGCTGAGATCTGAGTTCAAAGTCAGTCTAGGAAGGCAGGTCTGTGAGATTCTTACTTCCAATTAACCACCAAAAAGTTAGAAGTGGATCTCTGGCTCAAAGGGTAGAGCAGTAACCTTAGCAAAAATTTTTAAAAAACCCTTAGGGACAGTGTCCAGTTCCTGAGTTTGAGCTCCAGGACTGACCAACACATATAAACACACAGACACACAAACACACAGACACACAGAGACATAGACACACACACAGACACACACACACACACACAAACACACAGACACACACACACACACACACACACACACACACACACACACACACACACACAGCTAAAGAAGGAAAAGATTTATAGAACTTCCAAAAGGGAAGAAATTTGCTTGTAGCTAAATCCTTTATCTCCTCTCCATTGTTTTGCTCTAGTGTGGAATGTTCTGTCTATACTTATCCCACCAAACTCAAGACTTAATTCAAATGCTCCTCCCTGATTTTAGTGTTCATGCACTTGGGAATACTGTAGCCAAAGGTAAGTGAAGCAAATTAGAAACACATAGTTAAGACTGAAGAGAGAGGCTGGAACCAGAGATGTCAATTTAGAAGCTGTCAGAATATAATACATGGAACAAACCAGGGCAAATACGCAGAATGTAAGGAACTTACTGCAAAATACTAGTGTGCTAAAATATGGGGCTTTGTAAGGGATGTATTGCATTAAGTTTAAAGCTGTTCTTTGGGAAAAGACCATTTCAGCAAGGCAAAAAATTCATTTTCGATTTCCTTCAAGTTTTATAAGAAAACACTAGACAAATATTTGAAAGACTATGCCAGGATACAGAACATATACTGGATGTAAACACATATAACATTTCAATGAAAACTAATGAGAGAGCCACAAAATGTACGGGCTCTATTTTGAAATGTTTTACTTCTTCATTCAACTTTTTAAAAATAAATATTGGTGGTAGTGGTGGTGAGGGGTTGTGGGGAGGCAGTGAAATTTCCTTAATAAACAGAAAACTAAAGGCAGT